AAAAAGTTAGAATTTTTTTTTGGTGAGTTTACAAAAAATTTGTCGTTTATAAATATTTTAGTCTCAACATAAATAGTCTGTCTTTGATCGAACTAAATAAAGGATTAAGGTAGACATAACTATCTAAGAAGACACTTGAAGCAAGAAGGAAAAATAAATATACAACACAGGAGCGGAATTCTCTAAAAAGCCAAAGTTGTGGGTGGTCAAGAGGTCAATATGTGTGTAAATTAGTCCAGATACGATTGATCGTTAAAACAAAAAAAAAAAAAAATTTCGATCTAAAATAAATCACTAATGAAGTCAAAATTTTAATGCTCTGACAAAATTTTCAAAATATTTTGAGATTTTCTAACATGTTGGGGTGTTTATCAAAATATTTTGTACGAGTGTTGGGACCCCAAGCAATGTGATGACGGTCACATATAACCTGGCAGCATTTAGGATGTTGAAGTTAATGTACTTCCAAGTGAGGTGGGCCATTACCTGTTGTTTTTCTAGTATTTTCAAAACAAAATATAATAGGAAAAAATTTAATCACACTCTCTCTAATTTATCATATCTTCAAAAATATCCCCTCTATTTTTTAAATATTTATTGACACCCCTATCAGATTAAAAATATTGACTAAAATACAATTTTACTAAATTGCTCACGATATATTTGAAGATAAACTTCATCTACACCTCCTTTAGATAAACATTTCAATGAGACCCCTTTGTTTTCTAATTTTTTTTTACGTATTAAATTCAATCCGATTAAAATTCGATTCAAGCTAATTAAAATTTATTTTTTTTACATATTAAAATTTGAGTCAATTAAAAATTATATTTTTATTAAAATTTGGGCTAATTAAAATTATATTTGAGCCAGTTAAAAATTATTTTTAATCGATTCAAATCAAATTTTAATCAACTCACATTGAATTTTAATTATTTCAAATTTTAATACATAAAAAAATATAAATTTTAATTGACTCAAATTTTAATAAATTAAATTTTAATTGACACAAATTTTAATAAGTAAAAAAATATAAATTTTAATCGACTCGAAAGAAAATTTTAATCAGCGCTGACAACTCGGGTAAGTTTAAATCGGCTCAAATTTGAATACGTAAAAAAAAAAATTTAATAGACCCGAATTTTAATACGTCAATTGTCAGACATACGCGGCGTCTTGCCCATGGATTTGTTTGGTTGAGCCAGTTGGATAAGATTGCCCACCTTACAATCATAACATCTTTATTAAAAAACAAGGTGCAATTATTGCCATCCTGTGGGTGTGTTGGGTGCAGGTGATGGTTGGAAGTTGCGGCACCGATCATTAAAACGAAAGATGCTCATTGTATTACAAAATAATGTTGAAATAACTCTCGAAGATTCATTACATTAGTTGAGCCTGATTTTTAGTTACTTAGAGATTTCAAGTTTAATAGCTGCTCTTATCTTTTTATGAACATATTTTAATTCAATTTAAGTCATTGTGATCAGTTGTTAAATTAAAAAGAGTAATCGGTACAAATCTAGACATCTTATAATAATAAAAAATAAAAAAATAAAGTTGGACAGTACGTACTTTATATTAGACAAAAAAAATTGAATATGACAAAAGATTTAATTATATCGCCTCGTCATATAATAGTATTAACTGATTTACTTATCATGACTCGGAAAACTCAAGGTTGATTTTGAGACAAATAGAATGATTCCGATTATTGAAAACTCTCTCAAATCTTGCCCAAATAAAACCTTCACTCTTGGTTATACGACCAAGTATGCTGCCCTCATAACAGCAATGAGTGATGCCACAATCATTAACCATTGTATTGAATTCTTTTAAATATATAAGATTCGAAGATTTGCCACAAAATTTTTTAGATACATACAAAGTTGCGAACAAATTACCCGCAACCATCCATGGACCTAGATTGACATAAAATTTGGAATTTCATATTTATCACTCTCACAACTATGTATGGACATGAACAAAAATTTGTTCCTCAATCACACAACTTTAACTACTGTACAATGCAAATTGGACAAGTTCTCTAGCAAGTCGACTGTAAGCATGGATGCCCTAGGTCTAACCGGCCGGATCGAGTTTTCGATTGGCGACAATGTTGTCTTCGTCGTTGTCCTTTCGCATGTCCGAAGCCATTTGGCTTGCATGTACCTATGTTTCCTCCATGGTGCCATGTGCATCCTCTTCTCCTTCATGCACTTCTTAGCACTAGAGCATAAGATCTTGATTAAGGATGATAATCTTTCGACTTTTCCAACAAAAATTTCAGGAAGCATGTTTATTAGTTGGTTGTATTCTTCGTTTGCTCTCGCCATCTCAAACTCAGCTCGAAAATTCAACTCGATTATTACTCTGATCGGTTCTGTTTTCTTAGAATTTGAACTATCCACAACGTCCAAGAAGGTGTGTTTACCTGCACATATATAGTTGGAACAAGAGTTTGCTGACCAGATAGTGTTTGTAGCCAAAAATAAATGGAGCGACGAGGACGAAAACAAGATTATTAAGTTGAAGGTTGAAAGTTAAAGTTCCGATTATAATATCAATAATTCATAATATCGTCTCATATGTCCGTTCTTTTGACTTGTGACTATAAATTAAAATTTTAAATACACATAATCATTTGTAAATTACGGACATTCAAAGACTCGCATGCATCATCATGTTAACAAGGGTTGCAACTTGCATGACTGCTAATCATGGTTAAATTACAAAATAAAGGTCTGGTCTGTCCTGCCTTGTATAATGCAGTATACTTCCAATAGAGGTAGGCAAGAAAAAAAAGGCAAGAAGGTTCACCTCCCATCAACCAGACCAAATAAAAAGAAAGAAAGAAAATATGGGCCACCAGACCGCCACCATCTTTGCATATCAAATTGGTTGGGTGCGTTAGGTGGTGAGAGATGAGGATTTGTTTTTTTATTGATAGTTGTTCTTCGCTCAAAGAACAACTCAAAGAACAACAGGCAGGTCACGTCGCGTTCTTATCCTAAACAGTTTTTTGCTTTAGCGATGTTTTATCTTAAATTTAAGAAATAATTATTACCTTCTTACCTTATCAGCCTGTTTATTAGAAATAATCGGTGTATACGATTAAGATTCCGATATTGACTTGCTTTTTGAGTCTATCCCTCGAAGTTAAACTTAAACTCGAAATACAAATAATTATTTTAAAACAATGTCCGTCAGGTCAACCACTGTGTCTATTATGAGACTCGAACATTAAATCTCAAAGTTTTAATCATTGGAATGTTGACATATTTTGGATTATCTGACTCATTTTTAAACGATAATCTTGAGACGCACATATTTATCTATAAATCACATCGGTTGGACCAACCAGAGAGTCTTTTGTGAGACTTGAACTTTATATCTCGAGATATTAACCATTAAAATATTGTCATATTTCGAGTTACCTGACAAGTTAAAGTTTTATTTTTTAGTTTTTTATGTTTGTACATAGGTAGTGGTTACTAAACATACCAGATATTCACATAGTTGTTGATTAAAGTGATATAGGTACTAATAAGCATTGCCTGACAAGTATAAAATTGAAAAGTGTTAAAGAACTGTGCTCTAATGTAGTATTTTTTTAAAAGGTTTGAACTCACCGGCTTCAAGTCCTACGGCGAAATTATGACCATTAGACCGACCACTAATTTCTCGAATTTAGTTTAAAGTGACTAGTTCTCTCAAATACCTGATGGAATGTCCGGTGAGCTGCTCCACTTAGACTTGCAAATTGCACTGTTGATACCAGCATTTTGAAGACGACTGCATACCTCTCTCATCAGACAGTTCCGGCAACCAGTCGCCACCGGTCTCAGGCAAATACACACGTTCTCAGCCAGTTGAAACTCCTTAATAGCTTCTTTAGTGGCATTTCGGATCCTAGTTTCTAAAGAACTAGTCCTACGTAATGTAGCCTTTAAAACAGTGATCACAAAACAGAAAGTTCATTAATGTCAGATATTTATAAATAAATAAATAAAGTCGTTTCTAGTGCAGAAAATTCCGGTCTATAATGGGTTGTGAGATTCCTAAACAATATTGATAACTCTGTTGAGAGAGAGAGAGAGAGACCTGTAAAAGTTGGTGCTGTGTCTCCCAGAAGCTCTTCTTGTCCCCAACACTTGCTGAGTTTTCTCTCTCTTCGTTATACTCCATAACATCATTGTCACCATAGTCATCACTACTAATACTCTCTAGAGACCCTTGGCCCTCTTCCTCAAGAAACCCAAAAACTGTGCTGGACAAGTTCATCACAGGGTCTCTAGAATTCCCGATTTCAACATTACCCCACGTCAAAATCCGGTGCCTCGTCGGAATTCTCGCCGTTGCTCCGGCCATGGCCTTAACAGCACACAAGATTCACAATTGGGGTCACTTGGCTCTTTAAAAAATGTTGCATTGACAAGAATATCTAGAACCGGTTTATATACCATTGCCAAGGGTAAAGGTTGGTCCGTGGGACCTACTTGTTCTACGAAGAGGCACTCATCCGCAAAGAAAAATAATAATGCTATACACACCATTTTTTTTATTTTTTACTCTCGGAGGTGTTCCAGTCAATTTATGTGTAGGTCGATTAATTTTCTCCCCAATCTAATTAAAAACAGGTCATTTCTGCCGAAACTAAGGAATTCATAAAAAATAAATCTCTTATTGTCTAGTCTTGCAAGGTTACCCAAATTTAAACTTTGTGCACCATCTCAGCACACACACTTAGATTAGTAGCTCCTACATATTTTATTAAATATGGTGGCACATCAAGTGGTGGAAGAAATATAATACATAAAAGTGGTGTTCATAAAATTATTCATAAAAAAATAATAATGCTACACACGCCATTTTTTTACACCACTTTTGTTACGAAAGTATTTAGTTTAAAATTGGTTTATATAATCCTAGGGATAACTCGTGTATGAAGGTACCGTGTAATATAAATAATTTTTAAGTGATATATGTTGGTAGCCGAAGGATGAATCTATTTAAAATCGTCAAATAGACTTATTAAAATCTATCATATTTTATATTATAGATAAAATGAGACCCACTTATCCTGTCTGAACTAAGAGACTTTCATTCATATATAAAAAATATTGAATATAACGATTATATCCCAATAATAATGTCATGTGATTTAATCATTTATTCACTAATAAGTGAATAAATACATAAAAATGCCTCTGTGATAACCGATACATTGAATATTTACTCCACCCACATAAGGTGGTTTGGACAAATTCCAATGATAGTTTAAGTGTGATAACAACAGCGAATTATATACTCAAATATCTTAGTTCGGGGTATGAGAGATTACATTGCGAACCCTTAGGGGTTAGTCACGTGAGATTTATGTTTCGCGAATATTCTAATTTTGGTATAAATAATTTATCTTTAATTAGATCAAAAAAAAATAATTGAAATATACATAAATTGGTCTAAGCACCGGACCGATAAAAAAGAAACCAAAAAAAAACAGAAGGTTGTTTGGATAGGTCTAATGTGGTGGACCAGACAGCAAGGATCCACGTCAGTCAATGCCGATAATTTTATCAAAACTGAAAATATGGATATACTTGAATACTCGGATATTATATAGTAGTGTTTTTTTATTTCAATACTTTCATTGCCATCTAAATCCTAATCATAACGATGGCGGGACCACCATTAATGTGGTGACAGAAACAGGAGCAACGTGGCAGAATCATGGATTTTGATTGATTGGTGTAATCCAATTTGTGGGACCTACTCGTTTTATATGAGCGGAATTGTAGGTGTGGGAGTGGGACCTACAACGAGAGAAAGGTTCAGTGAGGGACAAAACATATTCGGCGCCTTGCCCATGGTTTTTCCAAACAGTGGGGCCTATTTTAAATTTTTTAAAACTATTAATATAAAGATTAATCTCAATTTGTATTCCGAAAGATCACTTAAATTTTAATTTATACTCTTAAAATTTAAAAATATTAATTTATACCCTCTATTTTGCCTTTAAAAAAGTTTAGGCTAATTATAAATTACACCCTTAAAGAATGATAATCCAAAAAAGAATTGCATCCATTAATTGAGAGGTATTTAACTAGTATTAATTGATGAAATTCTTTTTGGATTATAAATACAAAATATTTAAATTTTAAAGTGCAATTTTCAATTAATCTAAACTTTTTTAACAGCAAAATGGACGACAGTTAACCCTTAATGCACATTGATATAAATTTATGTCTTTCAAGAAATAAATTAATATTTTTAAACTTTAAAAATATAAATTAAAATTTGAATCATCTTTTGGGGTGTAATTTAAAATTAACCCTTATTATAATGTACTATGATAGTTAGATTAACACGTCAATATCTTACTCAACGAAAGGGACAGTACACCACCTTCAATAATTTCGAAAAATATTTAAGTATTAATTTTGTGTGACTTTGATGCTTATTCTTTTCATTATGTTAATCTATTTCTCTAAATTTTTAATCTACAAAATTAAATAATGAAAGTGTTCGTGCGAGTTTAATGTGGCCATACTTGAGGGGTCATTTCACCCTTGGTTCCTTAAGTTTGCAATGTGTATCACTTTTAAGCATAGGAAAAGTCTACAGTACCCAAAAAAATGGTAAAATGTTAGGATTAATCATAAGGTATCATATAAGTGGTAAAAATATCCCCTTTTTTAGTATTTTGTACCCTGAAAGATTTTAAAATTTTTAAGTTTTACCCTTAAGTATTAAATTTTTCATATTACACTCTTAGGAACCGTTTGTTTTGAGTATTAAAGTGGTATAAGGAGGTGGTATTAGGAAAATAATACGTGAGACCCATCTTATACGCTGTGTGTTTGACATTTTATAGTCAATACTATTTTTCGGATCGTAATACTGACCCGCTATGAACAGTAGCTATAATGCCTTTTAGAAAGTTTTAATGAATACCACCTAGGAGGTGATATTATATTCTTGGTATAGGTATTATAAACTAAAAAGACCGAAATGCCCTCCGACACAATTCTCATATAAAAGTCTAGCCGTAATTTTTGACTTTTTAAAGATTAAATTTATCTTTTACATTGGTTAACTGCAATTGTTGATTTTTTTAAGTAGGTATTACACAGATAATATTTGTAATAAACAAACAAGGAGAAAGATGAGATTATATTTTAACACTAGATATAATATACTATTGGATTGGAATTGAATGAATATAAAACCTTATACCACCTAAATTTTATACTCAAAACAAACATGCCCTTAATATATTAAAAGTATTGCAATGTGCTCCTATTAGCTTTTCATTAATTTTTTCGCCAATATCAACCAATGACCCACAAAGTTAACAGAAAAACTAACGAAAAATTAAAAGGGGTCACATTGCAACACTTTTGATACATCGAAGATATAATGTAAAAAATTTAATCGTTAAAAGTACAAAGTGAGAAACTTGAATATTTTCAAGGTGCAAAATGCAATTCGCCAAAAATATCCACAAAAGTTATAAAAATATCTACAAAATTATAAATCAGCCACAAAAGTTGTAATTTTTTATTATAATATAAACCACAAAAATTATAAAAACACTCATTAAAGTTGTAAAATTTGAAAATATGATACCGAAACTTTTTTTTTTTTTTGTAGTCTTCTCCTTAAGTTTAGAGTTTATGTCACTTTTAACCGTTAAAGTTTACAATTTGTGTTACTTTTGCCTTTCAAGTTTATAGTTTCACTCACCTTAGACCCTTAAATTTCAAAAGAATATCCTTCAAGTGTGATCACATGAGACGCGTGTGAATATATTTGTTATTCGTTTTAAATTACTTTTTTTTAATTGGACTAAAGTGACACAAATTTAAAACTTAAGGATTAAATTAACATTATTAAAAAAATGTCTACTAAAGTCGCATAGGAAACTATTATTATAATTTTACTCAATGATAAATTATATAGTTGGTGGTGCATCTACTTGTATAATAGGTTTTAATTAAATTTATGATAGATCATCTACAACAAATGGTATGATCATTAAGGATGAGGAAAAATAGAGGGATAAAAACCTTAAAAATTTCACATGCTACCTCTTTCATTAGTATTCTCATCATACTTAGGACTGTTTGGATTTTCCATGAAATCAAGAAGCTTAGCCTAAACATGACCATACCATTTATATCTTGGTGATGTTCATGGATGTGGATTTTGTTTAGTATACTTTTTTTATTAAAAAAATTAATAGTATATTATTGGGTATAAACCTAAATAGAATTCTATATAAAAGAAAATCCTTCATAAATACAAAGGAAACTTATCATTAAAAATAATGATAAAAATATTTAAATGGGNGGAATGAAACAATTTTTGACTCTATGTATTACGTTCAAACTCAACATGACATTAATTTAAAAGTAATTTGACATGCTTGGACAAATAATAAACAAATCGGATCAGTAAAAGACACATCAAACACTTTTCTTTCGTATTGTATAAAAGAAATGCATGTTTTATATTTTATATTTTTTACTGGATTATAAAAATTACCATAGAATTACATGATTTTTTTGTGATTTTGTCAGTAGATTTGTAATTTACTAAGGATATAAGAGTAGAGAAATTTTATTGAGATAGAAGGGACAAATTGACTATGCTATAAAATGATATAATTCAAGAGGATGCAAGTCAGGGTGGAGTGAGAATTTTTATCATAAGGGGGCCAAATAATTGCATAACTAGTAATTTTTATTCAATGTGTGTTATTACTGAATTATTATTAGCATCAAATTTTTAGATATATAGAATTTATTAAAATTAATTTCACACCATACATTATAATGAATCCATTTTTTTTTTAAAATTAATTAAACTTTATCGAATAATATTTTCTACTCTTAAACAACAACACTGATTTCACTTTACATATTGATTATTGATTTGATTACGTTGCACTCCAAAATAATTCAAAGTTTATCGATTTGTGCAAAATCAAAAAATTAACAATTAGATGATTAATGGGGCAACTGATAATCGAAGATAAAATAATGTGGTATAAAACATAATTGCCAAAATTTGGGAGGCATGAAAAAAATTAAAAAATAATTCAGATGTATAATTTATAATTTAAAAACTAAGGGAGACAATGTTATTGGTATTAAGACATAATTTAGGGTCATAATGAGTTGTTACTAATGGAGTAACGTTATACAACGGAAGCTGATGTAAGGGTAATTCTGTCAACAGAAGCTAATGAAAAGACCACGTTATAATATTTTTAATACGTTGAAGATACAATATAAAAAAATGTAGTCTTTGATTGAATTTTTTAAAATTTTTAGGGTATAAAATGCAATTCGCCAGATCTACATTTCTGTAACGAAAAAGTCTATGTATTACTGTCTACGATTTTTCAGATTACGACAAAAAAATAATTCCGAAGTAATAAACTCAGATTTGTTCCAAAAAATTTTGAGAGATTTCACAAAACCCAAGAATGTAAGAGCAAGCCCATCTCAATATCAGGGCTATTTATTTCACTGTCGATTTTTATCTGTTAGTGCATTGTGAGTTTATTTTGGAAACTTTGATCGAATTGGATACTGGGTTTTGATTGGCAGATTGAATAAATGGTGGGGTTTCATTGAATCTTCTTGTCGTAGGTATGTAGTTGATGTATATTGTTTCTAGATGGTGGGTTGATTTGTCTTTACTTGTAATACTTGTATTTATATCTTATTAATATCTATGGGCTACAAAAAGAGAGAACTTTTCGTTGGATTTCTATGAAAAAGAAAGTTCTATTAGTTTTTCATAGTTTAGGTCTTGGTCTTTGTGCTATTTATGTCGTGGGTTGGTGTCATTGCATTGATATAGTGGAAACAGAGGATTGTTTCTTATTTTGGGGCTAATTTGGTGATCTGGTTCTGGATTGGGTGGTGAATGGAGGGTTATTTGGTGTTGGAGGGTGTTATTGGATTGATATATTGGAAAGTGAAGAGTGCTTTTAACATTGGGGCTAATTTGGTGACGATCTGAATTTTAGACTTGTATTTAGTTGATTTTGATTGAGTTCTTTTTATAGCTCTGGCGCTTAATTGATGACCTGAGTTTGATTTTTTGAGGTGAATTTGAAGCAATAATCAGGGGGAGGTGAATGAGAGTTGGAGGGAGATGAGATGGGAAGTTAGGGGGTTGGAGGGACAACAATGACTACATTATCATTGGGGCTGCGTGCTCCTGGAAGTTCTGGGTCATTACCCCTACAGCAATTTCAGAATGGTGTGTTGCCAATCCAGACTACGCCTCCTGTTGCTAACCGTAAGCCTTCTAAAATGTTCAAAGAGAAGGAGAGGCTGTTTCACTGCGTCCGGAAGTTTGCTCCTCGCAGGAAGATTGGCATGCTGCTCTTGTTTATTGTTTCTATTGCGTTTTGGGTCGTGTTGTCGAATGTTGTTAAAGGTTTGCTTTCGAGTCTTTTTTATCTCTTTTCCTTATTTGTTGCATTTTTAGATTCTAGCTTTACTAATCCCACCCAAGGATCAAGATTTCGGTTCAATGGCTGTGTGGGTTTGGTCTACTTAAAAATGTAAATGTTTCGGTTTGATCCTTGATCCCACCCCGCACGCACACACACCTGCGCAAAGGCAAATCTGCAGCATGATCAATTTTGAAAAGGAATTAAGGGAAAAACCAGAGTTTTATTCTAGTTTGGAGTTTGAATGTTGCTGTTAGTCGTGTTTCCACACTCGTATCATTGTGCACTCAAATCTACCCTCTGGTGTGGCATTGGATAATAATATGGTAATTAAGTTTTGAAATGTAGATTTTGGTTGTATTAATAATGTACTTTGTGGGAAATACTATGCTTTCCTACTCTGTCCTATGTAGGTTCAAGTTGATTTGCTGATGGGAACTTCCATATTAGGTTTCGGTTTACGTTAGAAGATTTTGAAATGAGCAGGCATAACTTCTAATCTTCTACTCATGTTGGTTACAATCGAGATCAATTTCGATCCTCTGTGCGTAAGCATTCACGTGCATGCCTGTGTTGATTGAGGTTGTACATGACACATGTTAGTTTTGGAAGCTGATAACTGATTTTCAATTGGTTGAGTAAATATTCCATGCGTTTTGGCTTGTTTGCAGGTGACGAAGCACGGGAAGTTATCGGAAGCATTCATCAAATTGGATCTTCGCCAACATATGGAAAACAAAGAAACAATCAAGATGTTGTTTCTTCTAAACTGAAAAACATGGGGGGAAGTGCAAGTATAGCCCAGCCCCCTCCTCCTCCTCCTCCGCTTGCATATTTTTCGGCACACAACCTGCCTCCTGGGAATCTNAACATATGGAAAACAAAGAAACAATCAAGATGTTGTTTCTTCTAAACTGAAAAACATAGGGGGAAGTGCAAGTATAGCCCAGCCCCCTCCTCCTCCTCCTCCGCTTGCATATTTTTCGGCATACAACCTGCCTCCTGGGAATCCGTGTGAAGGTTTCACATTGCCTCCCCCACCAGCGGATAAGAAAAGGACTGGACCACGTCGTAAGTTTTAGCAATCATACTATTTTCCGATTTCCGTCAATTAATTTCACTAAATGTTATACTCGTTTGCTGCTGCTTAACATTCACACTCGCATATTGGCCAATAGTCAACAGATTATACTGCTGTAGACTCTGTAGCAACAATGTTGCACTCATTTTAATCCTAAAAAATTGGATTTAAATGAGTGCAGAGTTAATTTTGCTGGATTTTCTTTGTTTTTGGTGTTTCAGCATGTCCAGTATGTTACCTTCCTGTTGAAGATGCTATCACCTTAATGCCAAAGGCTCCTTCATTTTCTCCTGTGCTAAAAAAGTTAACCTATATTCACGAAGTAAATCTAACTAGAAGTGAGTTTGGAGGCTCGGAGTTTGGTGGATATCCTTCGCTGAAGCAGAGGAGCGATTCTTATGATATAAGAGAGTCAATGAGCGTGCATTGTGGGTATGGTTATTTTTCCTAGGACAAGTTCACCTGAATACTTGTTTACCAACCAACGGTTGTTTTCCTTGAAAAACTTGCTTAATTCACTATTTTCTTTTAAAATCATCCACTGGTAATGATGCTTCTTACTTTTGTTATTTGTTTTGACTGGTCCATGTCTACATAAATAGATTTGTCAGAGGAGTTAAGCCTGGCCATCAGACAGGATTTGAAATTGATGACTCTGACCTTCTTGAGATGGAAACATGCCCGGGGGTGGTTGTTGCATCAGCAGTATTTGGTACTGTTCTTTACTGCCACTTAATATTTTGTTCTCTTGCTCAAGGTTGTGGATTGCAAGTATAACAAATGCATTTTCGATCAGGATCCTTTGATTTGATACGACAACCAAAGAACATTAGTGAACATGCCAAGAAAAATGTTTGCTTCTATATGCTTGTGGATGAAGAGACAGAAATGTTTATAAGAAATTCTACTGATCTGGATGATAGCAAGAGATTTGGGTTGTGGAGAATTGTTGTGGTCCACAACCTACCTTACACTGATCCAAGACGCACCGGGAAGGTATATTATTTAAATTTTAGACAGTTTCATTCTTAATATGTAGATTGAGTTCGCTTAAGGACAGTCTAAGGTGACCATGGTAGACTATCAAGTTTGTAAGAATTTCTAATTTCGTCACTTTATCCTGTAAGACGAATGCATGAAATGATGCATTTAGTTAAATACTGTTAGCTCTTTATTATTATTATGCTTTCAAAAATTGAAAACTCTGTTAAAACAATGGGTAGCAAATTCTCTTGTCAGCTTTGTGGGGACACTTCAAAAAATGAGAACTCTCTACGAAAAGAACCATCAGGTATACAATTATAGATGCAATGCAGAGTAATCTTTTCATGATTTGCATAGTTGTAGGCTGAAAAGAATATAGTGGCATTGGAAAGTTTGACGGATCCAGTATTCATCCTCCGTCCGCTCAAAGTAATGTAACAGTGATTGGAGCTGAAATAGAGAGACCTGATTCTCTGCTTTTCAACTTACTTAGGCTTCTGGAAGTCGGATACGCTTCTGAAGAGACTATGGAAAGTTCTCTTTTGATTGGTGTAGGGGAAATCTCAAATCCTTATTTCTAATCTCATACTCATCTTTGCCCTCATCTCTAATCTCATACATATGTCTATTGAGACTGTGAATATGAGATCGTAGCCCACACACTGAAGTAGACGTAATTGATCTAGAGGGATGTCGAACAGGCCCAATGCATCCGAACACGGAATTGGTGCCCAATTAAAACCTACTGCCCACACTTAATGATAAACTATCAAATTAATGTAGAAATCCCTCAATCACTTTGATCCAATTCTTCAATGAGTGAATTTATGCAAAATACCCAAATTTAATCAATTTTAATTGTGCATAAGACACCATATCATTCCAGTCCCAATCACCAATTCAACTCATTTTGCAAGAGCCAATTCCACAAACCGTATTCACTCAAGCAATTTATCGAGCACGTGGAGGAAGTAAATATTGCAGTTATGTAAAGCAAGCAAGAGACAAACAAAACGCATAACATAAACGATTTTTACGTGAAAACCCTTAAGGGAAAAATCACAGGACTGTAGTCAACCTAACCTAATCAACTATCCTCAAAGTTATATTACAAGATCAAAGGCTTGTATCTCAATCAATACTATGGTTAGACGCGTTCTTCCTTGAATCTTTACTCTGGAGTCCACTGCAAGCTCTTGAGTTATAGCTTCAATAGGTGACGAATTAAGCTCCACGGTCCTTTCTTAGANGTAGTCAACCTAACCTAATCAACTATCCTCAAAGTTATATTACAAGATCAAAGGCTTATATCTCAATCAATACTATGGTTAGACGCGTTCTTCCTTGAATCTTTACTCTGGAGTCCACTGCAAGCTCTTGAGTTATAGTTTCAATAGGTGACGAATTAAGCTCCACGGTCCTTTCTTAGAATTCTCCTTGTTCTCCTTTGGAATCTTTCCTTGATCCTTGGACGCCTCCTTGGATCCTTGGTTTGTGGGTTTTGGTGTTCTACAAGATCTCTCAATTCTCTACAATAATTTCTCTCAATAACTCTAGATTGATCGATCAAAGATTGAGATTTGTTTGGGATCTTAGGATAAGCCTCTTGTTGGTATCCCTAGCTTTTTTTAAACCCTAGTGTCTCTCTAAAAGTTAGAAAAAATGTTCCCTATTTATAGGTGTAGGAAAATAGAAGTATTTGAACGAGCTGGGAAACCTGGTCACGAACCAGTACTTAGAAAGCGGTGCCCGCTTGAATAGGATTCTTTGCCGTTATAAACAGAGCACTGCCTGAGTGGTTAGAGAGCATTGATCATTGTTTTTGAATTTTCGTGCCCTACCCATTTTTTTCAACCTCGAGAGCTCTTGGAGAGCACTACATACACGTTCAAAAACTTTTTTCTTAAAAACATGAAACTTGCAATGGATTTTCATACACACTCAAAATCCATTTTAATTACTTAAGTTAAACCCATCTAAGTCAAATAGGTATCTAGGTCTTCTTACCTTACCTAAGCTTGATGAGATCCAAGAAGTCTTCACTTTATGTTGTAATGTAGATTGAGTTTTTTCACTACATCTTGTTTTGGTCTTCAATTTTCACAAGCATCTTGACCATAGATTTAGTCAAGTATAAAGTGATCTCATGGAATTTGCAAATTACAATCAATTTCCTAACATCTATAAACTTCCATCAAGTACTTCTGAGAAAGATGAATCCACAAATAAATATATGTTAGTGCAGATGATATAGTATCAATTGATGAAAATAAAGAAGGAATTAATAATAAACTGCAAATCTAGTAAGAGGCTCTAGAATCAAAAGGATTTAATATAAGATAAAAATTAGATATTTGGAATCTAACTTTAGTAAAGAAGAAATCTAAACTAAGAAGTAGTAAATATTGAATATTGAGAGATACTAAAAAATAAATACATTCGATATTTAGGGTTACTTATCCATAGGAGAGTGAGATTGGTGATGATGTTACTCATGAAATTAAAGCAGGATATACTAAATGGAGGAATACATCTGGTGTATTATGTGATTGACGCATTCATACCCCTTGAGCTTAAAAGAAAATTCTATAGAACGGCTATAAGACCAGCTATATTTTATGGTACTTAGTGTTAGGCAACTAAATACCACGTTCTATGATTGCATTTGGTAGAAATGAGAATGTTAAGATAGATGTTTTGTAAAAATAGGAATGATAGAATTTGACATGAAAATATTCATGAATAAGTAAAGATAACACATATAGGAGATAAATTAAGGGAGAATCGACTTAAGTAGGTTTAGACATATTTATAGACGATCTATCACAACACTAATGAGAAAGAGTGACCCTTGCTTGACCCGCGGACTTGGAACTATTTAAACAGTCTTTCCTGAAAGGTATTTTCCCAAAATTCTGCTCTGATACCTTCTGAAGTGAAATAGGTACACGCACGGGTAGAGAGTCTGCCTAAGTCGTGTGGCCCTAGGTGACGCCTATTGTAGTGTAGCACCTGGTTTCAGCCTTCTCTTTGTCATGGCTTCTGATCTCTCTTTGAGTCTCTAGATGTGATAGTTATTGACGGTAAGGAAAGCAGTAAATTAAGACCAAAATTATCTTTATATGTATGGTAAAAAAAAGATATGATAACTAATGATTTAAAAATGAAGTACTACCCCAGCGAGATAGCGACATGGTGAAATTGGATTCAATTGACCCCAAAAATGTTGGGACAAGACATTGTTGAGTTTTTTTTTTTAAGTTTTTGCATGAAGTTGAAACATGCAAGCTGACAAAGCGTTTTGCTGCATTCTTTTTTTTTTTTGTAGTATAGGGGTAGAAGACCTATTTCTTGATGCTATCAGTAAATCTTAAGACCAGAGGTCACAAGCTAAAGACCATGGTCCNACATGCAAGCTGACAAAGCGTTTTGCTGCATTCTTTTTTTTTTTGTAGTATAGGGGTGGAAGACCTATTTCTTGATGCTATCAGTAAATCTTAAGACCAGAGGTCACAAGCTAAAGACCATGGTCTNTAGTGCAGATGATATAGTATCAATTGATGAAAATAAAGAAGGAATTAATAATAAACTACAAATCTAGTAAGAGGCTCTAGAATCAAAAGGATTTAATATAAGATAAAAATTAGATATTTGGAATCTAACTTTAGTAAAGAAGAAATCTAAACTAAGAAGTAGTAAATATTGAATATTGAGAGATACTAAAAAATAAATACATTCGATATTTAGGGTTACTTATCCATAGGAGAGTGAGATTGGTGATGATGTTACTCATGAAATTAAAGCAGGATATACTAAATGGAGGAATACATCTGGTGTATTATGTGATTGACGCATTCATACCCCTTGAGCTTAAAAGAAAATTCTATAGAACGGCTATAAGACCAGCTATATTTTATGGTACTTAGTGTTAGGCAACTAAATACCACGTTCTATGATTGCATTTGGTAGAAATGAGAATGTTAAGATAGATGTTTTGTAAAAATAGGAATGATAGAATTTGACATGAAAATATTCATGAATAAGTAAAGATAACACATATAGGAGATAAATTAAGGGAGAATCGACTTAAGTAGGTTTAGACATATTTATAGACGATCTATCACAACACTAATGAGAAAGAGTGACCCTTGCTTGACCCGCGGACTTGGAACTATTTAAACAGTCTTTCCTGAAAGGTATTTTCCCAAAATTCTGCTCTGATACCTTCTGNACACTAATGAGAAAGAGTGACCCTTGCTTGACCCGCGGACTTGGAACTATTTAAACACTGTCTTTCCTGAAAGGTATTTTCCCAAAATTCTGCTCTGATACCTTCTANGACACCATATCATTCCAGTCCCAATCACCAATTCAACTCATTTTGCAAGAGCCAATTCCACAAACCGTATTCACTCAAGCAATTTATCGAGCACGTGGAGGAAGTAAATATTGCAGTTATGTAAAGCAAGCAAGAGACAAACAAAACGCATAACATAAACGATTTTTACGTGAAAACCCTTAAGGGAAAAATCACAGGACTGTAGTCAACCTAACCTAATCAACTATCCTCAAAGTTATATTACAAGATCAAAGGCTTATATCTCAATCAATACTATGGTTAGACGCGTTCTTCCTTGAATCTTTACTCTGGAGTCCACTGCAAGCTCTTGAGTTATAGTTTCAATAGGTGACGAATTAAGCTCCACGGTCCTTTCTTAGTATTCTCCTTGTTCTCCTTTGGAATCTTTCCTTGATCCTTGGACGCCTCCTTGGATCCTTGGTTTGTGGGTTTTGGTGTTCTACAAGATCTCTCAATTCTCTACAATAATTTCTCTCAATAACTCTAGATTGATCGATCAAAGATTGAGATTTGTTTGGGATCTTAGGATAAGCCTCTTGTTGGTATCCCTAGCTTTTTTTAAACCCTAGTGTCTCTCTAAAAGTTAGAAAAAATGTTCCCTATTTATAGGTGTAGGAAAATAGAAGTATTTGAACGAGCTGGGAAACCTGGTCACGAACCAGTACTTAGAAAGCGGTGCCCGCTTGAATAGGATTCTTTGCCGTTATAAACAGAGCACTGCCTGAGTGGTTAGAGAGCATTGATCATTGTTTTTGAATTTTCGTGCCCTACCCATTTTTTTCAACCTCGAGAGCTCTTGGAGAGCACTACATACACGTTCAAAAACTTTTTTCTTAAAAACATGAAACTTGCAATGGATTTTCATACACACTCAAAATCCATTTTAATTACTTAAGTTAAACCCATCTAAGTCAAATAGGTATCTAGGTCTTCTTACCTTACCTAAGCTTGATGAGATCCAAGAAGTCTTCACTTTATGTTGTAATGTAGATTGAGTTTTTTCACTACATCTTGTTTTGGTCTTCAATTTTCACAAGCATCTTGACCATAGATTTAGTCAAGTATAAAGTGATCTCATGGAATTTGCAAATTACAATCAATTTCCTAACATCTATAAACTTCCATCAAGTACTTCTGAGAAAGATGAATCCACAAATAAA